CGGTTCCGTAGACCGGCGCTTTATCCATTAAGCCATAGGCCCTCATTGCCGTACACATGTAGTACAACTTGCGTTATATGTAGCCGTACAAAACATAGCTTATAGGATGAGTAAAACGGTGCTGATGAAAGGAGCTCCTAGCTAACGAAAAGCGTACTCCAATAAGCCCTATGTACCCTAGTGGTTACACACGAACTTGCGGGAGGTGATAGCAAGGAATGGGACAGCTCGCTTGGGCTACTTTTCCACTTAAGCGCATAACAAGCAGTGGCTTTAGATTTGCCCTATGAATGTACTATTACATACTACTACTTCTATACTGCTATTACAACAAGAAATGCAACCTCTACTACTACTACTACTACTACTACTACTACTACTACTACTACTAATAATAATAATAATAATAATAATAATAATAATAATAATAATAATCCTATACTACAACTACTGCTTCTAATAATAATTCTAATTCTAATACTACTCATACTCTTATACTACTAGAATACTACTAGAATACTACTAGAATACTACTAGAATACTACTAGAATACTACTAGAATACTACTAGAATACTACTAGAATACTACTAGAATACTACTACAATACTACTACAATACTACTACAATACTACTACAATACTACTACAATACTACTACAATACTACTACAATACTACTACAATACTATTACGATACTACTTCGATACTACGGCAATACTACAACAATACCACTACAATACTACTACAATGCGAATATGCTGTGTCAGGACACAAGCTCCAAACATCCTTTTGTGTAATTCTGCCTTAGTGGTACTCCTGCGAAGTGGAGGGCCTATGGCTTAATGGATAAAGCGCCGGTCTACGGAACCGGAGATTCCAGGTTCGATCCCTGGTAGACTCGAAGGAAATACCTGGTGTGCGAAGCAATTCTGAGAGGTAGAGCATGTCTCGCACATTTTGGACGTGCACAGGTGAGGCATACACATATCCAGGCTTCGTGGTCATCTTCCACAGAGATGACTCAGGCATGCGGTGCTCTCGCGACTTGTGCTCCAAGGGGGGGATGGGAGGATGACAACGAAAGTCGCTCCTGGCACAGAAAAACTATAGGAAGAGTCCACGCGTCCCCAGGCTTAGGCAGACTCCTCCGCACCTGTGTGGACAGTCTATCTGAGACAAAACGACGAATGACACGCTACCAGGCTGGGGCCCACCTAATGCTGAAAAGACACATCAGCATCACTTGTTGGAGACATGTCCAGCTGCTGATCAACCCAGGGAAGCCCCCTATTATTCACCCCACTCACCTATGGAATCCCCCTTATTGTCCACCCATTCCCAACATGGACACCAGGACCTATGCATGCAGATCCCACAAAAGGAGCATCAAGTGATGCATATGCCATAATCAGCCGGCCGTTCAATACTACTGTGTGGGATGGGGCCAGGTCGGGAAAAGGTTGATGGCCACATTACGCAGCATCCAACCACAACGAAAATGTTTAAATTGGATGTGATGGTCTTGCATGCAGCCCAAGCTTGTTGGAGGCCTTAACGTAGGACATTTGTCACGATTGAGCTTATTAAGACACTCTCATGAAATCTTTTTGGCAAAACACAAAACACTCAC